GGGTGGGGAGGAGGGGACTCAAAGGTACATGCGGCCAATTTGCTGCTAGGAGAAGGCTGATCCTGCCCTGATCTGCTGCAGCTGAAGCAATGACAAAAATTAGTTGCAAAAGCCTAATTTATCAACTTGATCCTCAGTATTGTGGACTGGCCTTTGAGGTGGGGGTGTGGAGGGGAGAAGAAAATTTAAGCAATTCCAACATTCATCAGATTTTAAGCTTTCCTTTAAAAATAAACTTTGCTTCATTTTAATGTGTAGTTTCTAATGTCTTGGAGACCACAGAAGCAATTTGTATGTAGTATTTTGGGGAGAATAGCAATAGAAATTACTTGGGCACATTTGATATAGACACTTTTTCTTTTCAGATGTTCTGAGTGAATCCATTTGAAAGATTTAATTGTGCTTCTAAAACAGATGAGATGCTCAGGTGCTGAAGGGCAAGCCAGCGGGGTGTAGGGATAGTTGCTTTTCTGGACTCAGCTTCTTAAAAGCACTCACTTGATCAATACAACATATTGTAGAAGCAACCCAGAGTGGGTGGGTGTGGGGAGTCAGGAGTAGAGGGAATTGAACTACCTCTGTATTATGCAGGTGGCAAGAAAGGTAATTGAAGGGGATTTTTTCTGACAGTACTCTCCATCTCAATCATTTCCTTGTCCCAAATCTCAGCAACTTGGTCCTTCATTTTCCCTCCTTACAACCTCTCACCTAGAGTAGGATATCAGGACTTAAAATGTACCAGCAGTTCAAAAGGGTGGCTATTGCTTGAGAGGCAGTCAAGGTGTGGAAAATACAAAATTTAAAATATAATCCTTGTTGTTAGCCACTGAGCAATAACAAATCCTGTTGCCTGTCTTGTCCCTCGGCTCCAAACTTAACTTTGTCTCCTAAACACCATGGGTTTTGAGTGCTTAGGAGAGAGTAGCCTCTGCAGAGAGTTAAATCCACTTTTATTTTTACACTCATGATCTTTTTTTTGACTTGGGAACATCTGCAGCAACTGATTTGTGAAGCTGTTAGCTTGGGGAGCAGTGGAACAGCTGAGCGAGGAGGAGCATGTTGTCTGTACTTGGGCTGACATCGGTTCTACCCTACCTTGAAAACTGCTTGTGGTGAACTCTGTGCACAGGGTGGCTACAAAGAGTTAAAGATTTTATTTTGGATCTCCAAGGCATACTTGAGGCCAAGTTCTTAAAAAAGTAAGTTTAATTTGTTGCCATTACATTTGCCAGACATATGACCTCACTAAACTTTTAGCAACAGTTCTTTGTGCCGAGATTGGTCCCTGGGGAGCCCGGCACTGTTGCAAATGGCTTTTTGGCTGCTATGAGTATGGAGCATGTTAAACATAACCGTGATCTGTGAAAAAGTAAGAATCTTCAAGCACTGCCCACTTTCCTTCCTGTCTGGGAGCTGGAATTGGACAGATACCACAGCTGAGCTCATAACTGAATAGGCAAAAACACCAGAGTGCCGTGGTATTTACTCTTCTGGTGGGAAGTGAGATGGCCAGGAGCATCCTCTGTCCACAGTGTCATCACTGGACACAAGTCGGCCAGCTACCTAGAAAATAAAATCCAACTATGATCTAAGTAGCTGGGCTAAAACCAGCCAGCCTCATGGTACAAATCACTTTATATAACCTCTTTACAGAACTGCTTTTGAACGAAATGCTTTTTAAAACAACGAGTGAGTAGGAGGGGAGGGAAGCAAATCGTTTTGCAAAGGTTTGTCGCTTGTGATGTGAGAGCAGGGCTGCGTTTCTTCTCTTGCTTTTGGAAATGGTTGGTCTCCAAGTGCTTCTCAAATGGCATGACCCTATTGCCTGTAGTTTCAGGAAGGAAATACAATGGGAAAGAAGATTCTCTTATTGATGCTTATCTGCATATTTAACCTGGATTTAGCATGCTGTAGGAAGCTTTATGTGTGTCTCCAGGAAAGCTGGGATCTATTTCTAGCTCTGCAGCAGAACTGCCATTGCAGGCAAACGTTACTCTCCAATCCACTGTTCTGCTTGTCAGGGGAGATGCATATAAATTACTTCCTCTGTTGAGGTACAGGTTTTGTAGACTAAGAGCTCATTAGAGATTCATACGTAGTGTGTCAGGGAAGAGAGAGGCGGACTCGCCTCCAGAGCAGAGGTCTCTAGCATCCTTTACTTTCTCCCTGTCTCCTTGTAGCACAGGTGCTGCTGGGGGATGTGCTGAGCCCCTTTCTGCTACTCGGCATGAGTGATGGCTGTCCCCTAGGGCTTCAGGTGGAGCTTGAAGGTAACTGGTCTCACTTCTGAGCAAAGATCTGGGGGTCATGCTTACATCCATGTGTTGGGAGAGGGTGCTGGGGGTGGTTTCTGGTGAGGGATGGGCATCATGAACAACTGGGGGTGTTCTGGCAGAGGGTAACTCACGTTCTGCTTAGGTGCAGCTGAGGCGGGCCAGGTGACCACTGCTTGAGACCATGAATTTGCCATCTGCAAGGAAGTCTTTCCCCAGTGATCACCCTTAGATTTCTTTATGCTGACTCCAGCCCTTCCTCCCTGATAATGCAGTACAGCTGGAAACACACCATTTTGTTGTCACAAAACAGGCTGAATCAGCACCGTGACCCAGTGCCAAAAACCTGTCACCTCCTCTCCTTTGCTGTTTCTGCTCCCTGCAGGCATCTTCCATGAAGCTAATAACTCGCTAGTTGTGTCCAGGACTTCCGTGTTAGCACTCACTATCACCTTCCAGACACTGGTCAAGCTGAGGATATGGTGGTGCTCTGCGTGGCACAATGATTTTTCTGCAAATGTCGGGTGAGGAGTGCTACGAAGGCTGATCCTGCTTACTCCCAAGAGCTTGCGGCTGCATAGGGTGTGTGCCATTGGTGGTAGCTGTTCATTCAGCTGGTGGCTGAAAGGGTTAAGCTAAGTTAGCTGCCTGGATGGAGCTACTGCATGCCTCACTTCCCTCTAGGGAGGCTGCTCTTGGCAATGTTTCCATCCTCAGGTTTGCACAGCGCTGCTGAAGGCCAGAGCTGACCTTTGGTGAGCAGGTCTCCCAGATGGAGAAAGAGCTTCATTGCTCAGCTGCAACAGGCAGATCCTGTGGGCTTTCCCAGCTCGGGAGTGTGCTGGGCACCATGAAATCCTCCCAGGAGGAGAACCTCCTCGCAGCATGATACGGGCTGGGGTGGGGTGGAGGGGTCATTGCTTTTCCCCTTCTGTGATTCTGCTCTGCCACTTGTAGGTGCCATAACAGCAAGAAAGGCTCTGCCTGCCTGCTGTGACACTTGGTCCATCTGGTGTGGCAGGCACCTTGTGCTAACCAGCGTTAACCAAGATGGTTTTCATCCTGTGAAGGCCTAGGAATAGAAT